TTCATTGCAAAATGTAAAAGTAAAAGTGTGAACTAAAGTACTACAAAATTTTACTACAAAATTTTATTTCTGAATATTATTAATTAGATAACCTTGCACGGTGCTCTACTGCTTCATGCATTCTCTTCCACTTTTTCACTAACGCACGGGCGGGGTATTGACTTTCTGCTTGACAGATTTTTTTTAGTATAATTTTATTGTTTTGCATAATTATATTGTTTCTACGCTCTTGATCTTCAAATTTCGATTTATATTTGACATCCGGCATCCAGCAATCTACAGGCCCCTAAAAATAAAACAAACGATTAATATTGTCACGTTTTATTTGTGCTTATCTTATTTAGATTAATATTGCCTAAAAATAAATGAAATATTGAACAATTTTATATAATATTAAGAAATATATACAATAAATGCATCAGTAATTGTTTTTATTAATAAATATACAACATATATAAGATTATATTAGTTTAAAGTAAGATATGACACTACTAACCCCTAATCGATGAATTATGTTTATCTTCTTCAATAGTTTTATATTTTCTTGATCTATTTGTTTAACTCGTACTGCATCTTGTTGTAAATCATGAGCTTTCAAATAAACAGATACATTGAAATGTGGAGGTTTGTTATCAATTTTCGATACAATGCGCACATGATGAGGTTTCATGCTATGCTTTTTATTACTCATAATAATATTAAATTCAGATAAAATTTAATTTTTATTATATAGTTTTAGAAAAATATTTGTTGTGGAAGTTTATACTGATATTATCATTTTTACATTAATTTGATTTGTAGTATTATTTGGAGTGAATTTATAACCAAAATTTATGAAAATCTCCATTTACACGACATTATATGAATTGATGCAATGTTCAGATAATTATTATTATGTAACATTCGGATTGAATTTAATGGTGAGTTAATGATGTTCTCTAACAATATGCTTTGAGAGAGATATAAATAAGCATAATAATATTTATTATATAATAAACTTATATTCATAAAAGCTGACATTAATGAGCTTATCTGGTTATGTGTAATTTATTAATTAAATTATTAATTACATCTGTTTATTTCTTTTGTTAGATTCAACATCCAATTAGAATTAAATTATCTCAGGTAATAATTCACGCAATGTACATGAAACAAATAGAGTTATTTTTCTTTATTATGGGCATTATTATTTTTCAATAACAATTTATATTTTTTGTGCATATAATAAAATATATAAAACTGCTTTTATGAAAGAAAAAATTATTGCAATAATGAAAAAGATGAAATAAGACGTAAAAATGATATGAAAGATTTTATATTTTGCATTTTCTGTAAAAGAATATTAATCCTCAGCAAGAATATATAAATATTATTTAAAAATATTAAATTTTATTTAAAAAGGTATATCACATACTGAATGTTAAATCAATATTACTAAAACATTCTTTTATGTATATCGTATTTAGCTATAATTTTTCCATGCATGCTTGAATCTATCTATTTGTATTAATATAATTCCAAGTGTCAGAATAGATTCGGAATACTAGAAAAAAGAAATTAGAATTGATATTGATGATTAGTATGTAGCTATGTTTGAATAATGAATAATTAATAACACACTTTGTAAAGGAATTTATATCCAAATTGGAAAAGTCTAAGCCCGCAAAACTTCAATGGCGCTTGTGTTACTTGCAATAAAAATTGTAAGATCTGCATTAAGAACATAGACAATTTAATTGTTGCTTTTTAGTTTGTGTTGAAACTTAAATTAAATTTTAATTTAGATAGTAACATCTTTTAATATTATATTGAAACTTACATTTTCACGTATTTCCACATCGCAAGAGAAATATAATATGTTACATATAACGTTACCTGTCGCATTTGCCTAAAATTGGAACTAATGTTATTTACAATTTTGTAAAATTTAGCATTAGTTAGCAATCATACAATCACTGAAAGCAAATTATAATAAATGTTTGAATTTGTATATAAAGAATTGATACCTTTGCACTAACTGTCTCGCACATATAATTAATCAGGACAATTCTAGAGATATACCAAGATAGCCATAATATGATTATAGTGACGACTAAAATTCTTTTATTAGTTACATAACATCTGATAAATATTGCAGTAAAAAGTTCACGGAAAAACTCCGCTATGAAACCGAAATAACATACCATCTTCCAAGTCATTTGTATTTCGAATATTGAGTTTATTTCGCGAGATATTTTCTGTAACTCCAAATGAAGATGTCTGCGTAAATATGATAAATTTTATTAAGCTAAATCATCATAAGCAATAATTACATTTATATTTACATTATGATCCAAGTCATATGTTTACTGCTTGGAAGTTGGCGTTGTTGTGAATGTAACATAGGACTTTCCCATGCTCGCTTTATTCCACATATATTCTCTGTTGTTAATTTATGTAGATGTTTGTTGATTTGATCAAATTTCAATCCTAAGTATCTAATGTAGAAGAGATTTAGCGAATGGTGCACAGAAATATATATAAATAAAGTAACCGAATCTTATATGGCCTAGTACTTTATTACGCTTTATTCGCTATTTGTTTTGTAGATAATTTCACGATGAATTCAACAGATAGCACTAACAAATCGTGCAGACTGTCCGTTTAATTCGATTGTATCAGTTTATTATTGCTCAGTTTATTCTGTAATTGTCAGCAAAGAAAAATGCAAAATGTTGTAGTTGTGACATTTCGTAGAATAAGTAATTGCCTTTTATAACTATAATTTTAATTCACTTGCTAAACGTGAAAATAATTAGACAAATAAATAATTCAATTGTTTGTAAAATAATACACTTTATGTATCAATAAACACGTCAGTGTGTTAATAAACTTATAATATTATAAAAGTAAGTTTGTGGATCACTTTATTTTCTATTCTTATAATATTTTTTTACAAAAAAGAAACAAACATGTACTTAGGTCACATTGAGTACATGTGTACCTAAATACTACTTTTATTTTAAATCTTCACGGTATGTAACAAATCTTTGAAATATGTCTTATAATTTAATGATCAGTAAGGTTGTCTCTTTTAAATCTAATATCAGTTTTCAATTCAGTAAAAAATTTTTTTTTAATCGCAAAATTTAGATACATCATATATAATTCGGTTATCTTATAAATCGTAAAAGTTTCTTAAAAATCTTAATTTTTCTTAAACATCAAATTAATTTATGTATAGATAGCTAAAATAATTTGTGTATATAATTGAGATAATTTCTACATTATAAAAAGATTTACCAACCCAAGAATGTTTGCAAAAATCAGATCGTCAATGATATTGATATCGGGACAATAGTTTAGCATAAGCGTTGCATAGATAGATGTTAGAGAATCATGCATATCTCGCCATCGTATGTAATCGCAATAGTTCAATAACGAAACTATTATAGACCACCCTAAAACAGTCCACATTGTTCTTTTATTTAATTTCTGGTAATCCGTTATTGTTCCGAGTTTCCTTAATGTATCATCCACAACATCGAGCTTCTTTAAACAGTTTCTAAGTTTCTATGCAAAAAATTGAATATAATTCATAAACGTTATCTGTCTAAAAATTTGATGTGTTTATACGTAAAGATGTAATTATGTTGTTATTTAAAAAATGCCCCATTTTTCTAAAATAATTATTGTATTAAATAAAATGAGTTAAATAAAATTAAAGAAGCAATAACATTATTGGAAATGTTACGAAAAGAAATCTGTTAATAATTTATACATTATACATATTTTTATATTCACTTTTATTATAAAATTCCATAAAATTAAAAAAAAAATAATATTGTGAAACTGTATAAATGAATCAAGAATTTAAAATTACTTTATATGAAAATAATTTATATAATATAATTGAGAGAGATAAAAAATTAATTACGTGTATATTTTAGTATTTAATATTTTCTTACCTTATCATAATATATTCCAAGAAAAATTGATAACAAAACTGTAAAAATATTCAATGAAACATAAATAATATAATCGGCGGATTCATCAGGTATATAAGATATCCCTTTATCTATCACGAAAAAACAATAAACCGACCACAGTAGTGGAATATAGAGGAGACTGAACCAAAGTTTTGGATATCCCGCGGAAATCTCGATAATCCTCAAACCGCATAATGAACTGATTAACAAGAGTGGCGATAAAACAGTTCGTATGCTTTCCGTCATGGTAGATTTCAAACTATATTTTTCTTACCGATCAATGGACGACAATATAGTAGATCTCTATAATTATAATTGCTGCACTTATACATATTAGAATAATCGATCTACTAAATTTTACATTGCAAGAAAACAGGGCAACTGTTAAGTTTCTTGCTCGTTTCCATTCAAAATGAAAGTTTATGGAATAAAACGAATAATTAATGACACAAAAATCGATTTTGGTAATACATTTATTCTTTTTTCATTTTAACGATTTTACAGTAAAGTTATATGTATTTAGAAACTTAAAAAATAAAAAATGTATATGAAATAAAATGAAATACAACGTATGTTTCAGTAATTGATATCAAAATATAACGTAATAACGAAATAATTTAAATGTTTATATCGTTTTATTTTGTTTTTGATTGGTATATTTTTACGTTCATTATATGTGTAATATTTTTTTGATACTTTATATGAATGCATGTATTGAAATGACTATGATCTTTAATTTGATCAGTTCATAGAAGTGATATTTTTTAAATATATGAAATTATCTTTGTAAGGAAAATTATTACGAATGAATAAATGTAAAAGAAGCTGATAAAACACTAACATTTAAAAAGATAAAATAAAAAATTAGTTCTATAATATGTATATACTTATATTATGAAAAATTAATCTTATTGTTAGAAGTAACTGCCAATAGTATAACTGCTAAATATTAAAAAATATTTATCAAAAGTTTGTAAATTATATATCGAATATTACGCCCATTAGATATTTAAATGTTGTTTGTACATCACATTAGTTATTATTTTCTAAATATTTATTGCTTATATATGTTTGTGTATATATTACTAATAGGGTCGAAATAGAAGCGAAGAACTAAAAAAAATAATAATAAATTTATTATTTAGATATTTAAGAATTAATTTTTTTAGATACTTTTTACATAAAAATTAATTGTAAGTATAATAAGTTATACAACCATTACAACGTACCCCATAAAGGAATTTAAAACCAAACTGGAAAAGTCCAAGTCCATAGAATCTAAGTGGCGATTGAACTATTTGTAGCGAAAACTGTAAAATCTGTATTAATACATATATAATATTAATATAATAAATCATAATAAATCGTAATTTTCACATTTATAGTTTCTTGTTTTTATTTTAATTTAAATAAAAGTTATTGTTTTAATAGAAAAAACATTCAACTTGAAAACTTACGTTTTCGTAAATTTCAGTATCGTAAGTAAGATACGATAATTTATTTATAAAATTTCCTGTTGCATTTGCCTAAAATTGGAACTAATTTTATAAAATTTCCTGTTGCATTTGTTTAAAATTGGAATTAAAAAAATAGTAATAATTTATTAATGTAAAAAACTTAATATTATTTACTAAACTTAATATTATATAAAAAACTTAATATTATTTACAATTCGCAAGTTATTGAAATATAATTCTACGTGTAAATAAGTACTTTAAAAAAATTTTTGTATATAGTATTGATATACCTTGGTGCTAACTCTTTCACATACATAATTAATGAGAAGGAGTCTGAAGATATATATAAAAAGCCAGACTATAAGTACAGTAACGTAAAGTATCTCGTTATTTATAATTCCATAATTTTTATTATATGCGAGGCAGAAAATTTGTCTCAAAATCGCTGCTATGCAAGCAAAATAACATCCCATTTCAAGAGTCATTTGTGTCCCAAATATACAGTCTGTTTCACGAGATATTTTACGTAATTCCGAATGAAGATGCCTGTTAAATGTAATATTTATCTTATCGTGCAATGTAACTGTGATTAATTGAATTTACATAAATGTTCTTACATCATAATCCATATTTTGTTACATTTTATTATATATTTGTTTTTTGAAATTTTTTGAAATTTGGGTTTATATGAATGTAACATGGAATTTTTCCAAGCTAATTTTATTCTATATTTGTCATCTTCTGATAATTCCTTAAGGTACTCATTAATTTGATCGAACTTTAATCCTATATATCTAAATATGTAAATCATTAGTGAATAAAAAGATTAAGAAGTATATATAAATATACTTCCTATATATATATATATATTGTATACTACATATATATATATATAAGAGTTAGGAAGTATATATAGTTGTTGAAGACAAATTTTTTATATCATTTTAAGACGAAAAGTCTAATACAAACATGTCGAAGCTATAATAGTTTTCAAATGGTAAGAGTAAAAATTACGAGTATTAAAGAGTTTAAAAATTACGAATGACGGAGACAGCATTTCGTGCACTCAGGACAAGATGGTCAGTGTAAAGATATTAAATTTGGTTATTGTCAAAAACATGAAGTTCGAAGGAAGCACATTCACACTGACCATCTTATCATCTCTAAGCGCAAAATAAAATTTTAGCCATCATTCGTCATTTTTAAACTCTTTCCATTTAAAAAATCAGTTTCGACATTTTGGTATTAAACATTCCGCCTCAAAATGTTACAAAGAATCTATCTTTAAAAGGAAGGGCTATGTTTGCCTACAAAACGATTGCCTACAGCTTCGTTTGCACACAGCGTATTGCACACACGACAATATTGTCATGTGTGCAATGTGCTGTGTGCAATACACTGTGTGCAATATTGTCGTGTGTGCAATGTGCTGTGTGCAATATTGTCGTATGTACAATACGCTGTGTGCAATATTGTCGTGTGTGCAATACGCTGTATGCAATATTGTCATGTGTGCAATACGCTATGTGCAAACGAAGCTGTAAGCAATCGTTTTGTAGGCAAACGGGATCTTGCCTCTTTAAAGTATTTATCATCAGTGATAGGACATCCTGTAAATTCTTTATATACTTTTTATAAAAATTAGGAAGCATATATATTTTTTACATAAAAATGTTAACTAACCCAGGAATAATGACAATTATTAAATCGCCAATGCAAAGAATATAAATGCAATAATTGCGTATAAAAGGAATAACTATAGATGGTAAAATATCTGTATTATTTCCTTTTATAATATAACTCTCCAAATAAGTTAACAATATAATTATCACAGACGATCCCAAAGTAAAGCATATTATTTTCATCTTGAACTTGTGATAATTTGTTGTTTTTCCAAGTTTTTTCAATGTGTCATCCACAATAACGAGTTTCTTAATACAATTTCTAAATGTCTGATGCAAAGAAATAAAGTAAAGAAAATATATATTATGATTTGTATTTATCGATTTTGAGAGAGAGAGAGAGAGAGAGAGAGAGAGAGATGAATATTATTTTTATAAATTGTTTCTTTAAATAAATACAAACGATTTCTTCTTAGATAATTCTTAGATTACATATGAGTCAAAATTGACAAATTCAAATTTATAAAAGACTTCTACAAGACATATACATTTTTAAATAAATTTTTTTTTCGAGTTCTGGTATCCACCATTTTGAATTTGTCAGTGACATTAGACTTGTATTTAGTGGTCTAAGAAATCCTTAGGTTTTTATAATTAAACATAATTGAATGCTGTTTGGTAAATCGTTAATGACAAAAAATTAGCAGTTTTTCCATAATAGACCTCATATTTAATCATAAATATCTCATTAATCGTAGGCAATACTAAAAATCTTTTGAGGGCTAAGACTCGAGAGATTGCACCAATGTTACTTTAATTTTAAACAAGGTTTAAAGGAGATTCTCGCTACTTCATAGTCAATAGACAGTTTATTCATAATAATACGTAAAACAATTAAAATAATGGAATAAAAAGATTACTAACAATATCTTATGCCATTATACATAATTATTGTTAATTTTATATGTGTTAAATATTTTCAAAAAAAATAAAAATTATAAGATGTTCATTTGATATATATACGTCGTCCATTTGACATATATTCTAGTTTTTTTTTTATTGACGAATATAAATTTCTTGTAAACTGTACGAGCAGTTTAAATGGAACTTTACGATAACAAACTTAAGTAATTACTTTATAATTATAACAATTTTTTAATTGCTGTCTTATACGCAAGTATCTCAATTTAAAAGAGAATAACTACAGAATTAGGTTATACCTTCAATGTATAATGTAAAATTCTATAAATTTGGAATTAAATATTTTTAAAATGGTACGGTAAAAGTCAATGAAATTTTTTCTAGATATTATTGATATTATTAATATTTGTATTACATGTATATTATAGACATGTCTTATATTTCATCAAACGCGAGAACCTCCTTAAAATTCTTTTCCTTTCTGTCTCTCTATCGACTTTAAAAAAAGAAAGAGAAATTTTTAAGCTTCGCTTAAAGTCAAAAAATAACGTGCAATCGGGCCTAAAAATTCGAAGAACATATCTCATTTTGATTGTAATAAAACTTCTTTAGCACGTTACATATTGTTTAGCACATTACATAATTATAATTAATACAAAGTACCTGAAAATGTTTTTTATAACTTTGATTGCGAATTTCTTAAAATTGTGACTTGATTGAGCAATTTGGAAATCGGATTTATATTCAGTATCCACATAAAAATTATAGGAAATTACTTGTCTCGTTCTAGTAAAAAAAGTCACATTTTTTTGTCGAACAATGTATTCAGACAAATATTTTTTGCTGTATTTCTTACCTTATCGTAATACATTCCAATAGCAAATGATATCATCGTCGTAAAAATATGTATTCCAACGCAAATACGATATTCAGTAGAATAATGAGTTATATGAGATATTGAATATATTATAAAAAAATAATAAAACACCCATAGTAGCAATAGGTATAAAAAATTGTACCATTGTTTTTGATCACCTACAGGAAATTTGACTCTTAAACCACACACATAACTAATAATTAGTAATGGCGACAACATTTCTTGAATGCTCTTTGTCATAGCGTATGTCTCCGTAATTATGAACTGCTCTTTGCAGATAACTTTGTAAACTAACGATGGATCTTTATAATTCACTATACTTACGTAAATGTATGATGAAATAATCGATATGCTGAATTTTCTATATAGCAAACTATCCTCTAAACAGAACTGGATAAATTTGTGTTTTCACACGAAGCAGATACATTTATAATACAAATATCGATGTTATTTAGTGATAATGTTTAGTGGTTGTTTTTTTAAATAATTTTTGTTCTTTATTTTTTTACTCTTAGTACTGTATAGTGTCAATGGCTATTATTAATAAACAATTATATTTTTATAATAATAACACATCTCTACTTACCTTATCATGATATTATTACCTTTTTACCATATCATGGTATAACAAACACGATTGTCAATAAGGTTGTGTCAGTAAGGTAAACAATTTCAGCGAATAGCACATATGGTACTCGATGGAATTTCATTTATTAAAAGAAGATATTAAAGTGCTGATGTCAAAAGATTATAATAAATCGACCAAATGAGCAATATATAAAAAAGACTGAACTACAATTTTAAGTAATTTCTACATAAACTAGCAATTCTTAAACTAAACACATAACTGATTATTATTAGGAGTGATGTTAAAATTGTTCGAATACTTTTAGTCATTGTACGGTTGTATTTTCATCAAAACTGCAATTCTGACAAGATAATTGTATACATACAGTAGCATGGTAATGATATAGAATTTTTTAATTTTTATTACGACACCTTATGGATATTAAAGTAACCAATCCATTAAAGTTTACGCGACGTATCGAGCGAAATAGAATGTGGGGTATTGTACCTGTGTCTTACATAAAATAGGGAAAAGGGGGGTAAGACGACGAAGAGAGTAAGATAACGAATTATTAATTTTTTAAAGATAATAATAGATGAAAAGCAGATGCTTTATAACTCATTAAAGGCTTTAGATAATAATACATAATCTCTTATAGTTTGAATTCAATCCGACTACAAAAATAGATAATATATTAAGAAATGTGTTTCGGGGGATGCATTCACTTGTAATTTTGCAGTATTTGTATATAAGGAATGACATAATTATAGTAAATACTTTCATTTTTTTTTTAAATTGCAATATTGTATAACTAAAAACATACAATAACGTATTAATATTTTTTTATTTTTCGTATTATAATGGCTCTATTAATTAAATAAAATTATACGGTAACTGTGGGTAAGATGACGAATGTCGTGTACGAGTAAGCAGACGCTCTCTGGAGGTAGATTGTAGGTTATGTACTACATGACCACGCGTGACATTTTCGCAACTCAAATAATAAATAATTTGATGCTTATGGTTCAAATCTTTCTTCCCACAATACGTAGTGAGAAATAACAATGGAATCGATGTCGAATCGACGTCTTAAATTGATTTTTCGTCATCTTATTAAGAGTTATCTTACCCACATATGGGGGCAAGATAACGAAATTGAAATGTCCTTAAAAAAATTAAATTTTTAAGAATTGTAATTTATTTAACAACTTTATAATTTTTACAAATGATAACTAAGACTGTAGTGAACTTGAAAAAAAATAAATCAGTCTCTTTACCTCATCACAGAAATTAGGAAAAATCGACAATACTTAAGGTCGTCATCTTACCCCCCTTTCCCCTAAATATATCTTTATAATAAAAATACAAAAAAATATTGTTTTAATATTCTTTATGTTTTATTTAGACATTTGCAGTGCTGTAGCAGGATTAAAAAATATTATTAAACATCATGTGACAGATGTTAGTCACAGTTATAATTATTATATTATTACTATACATATATGTAATTATAATAGATTACACATATATAAATATCATAATTAAACATTAAAGCGCTGTTTTTGTTTCAGTAAAAATCATGTTATTTTATTTAGGTTACATTAAAAATATATTATATATAAGGAATGATTCTCTATTAAAAATGAAAGAGTTGTAGAAAGATATATAATTCAATTATATAGGAAAATATATCTTTTGCAGACAGATGTTATTGTAATAAACTTTTTCAATTATTAATTTTTTCCCATAATTTCAATATTGGAATATCAAATCATCCATGATACGTAGAAGATATTGTGTAACATAAATTAGACCATATAAATTGCTTATTATTAAAAATATTTTTTATGAATTCTGTTATGTTTTGTTAAAATTAATTACTTATTTACGTGCGCTTGTATTACAATAACTAAAACGGTTGCAATAGACATGATAAACTAAAAATAAAGATAACATATATAAGTTTTCATCTTAAGTATTTATCATGACTTATTATTTCTAGTATGCAATTAGATAATAAATATAACATACCCTGTAAAGAAATTTGGAGCCAAATTGGAAAAATCCAATTCCATAGAATCTAAGAGGCTCATAAGTCATTTGTAATGAAAATTGTGAAATCTGTATTATTACAATACATTACTATTAATGCATATTTTGTTAGCGTTTGTACTAAATTTGACATTTAATGTTTTTTTAAATAAAATTTAGTTAACTTATTTTAAGACTTACGATTTCACGAACTTCAACGTCAAAAGTAGTATATGATAATTTATTTAATAAATATCCTGTTGCATCAGCCTAAAATTGGAATGTGTTGAAACAAAATTGAAGTTATTTCTAATTTAGGAATTTAAAGGTGTCACTAGTACTAGTACTTTTTATTAAAAATAAATTTTAAATTAATAACATTTAAAAAGTTTAAGTTAAAATGAATACCTTGGTGCTGACTGTTTCGCACACATAATTAATGAGTAGAAATTTGCTAACGTTATGAAAAAGCAAGAATAAATATAGGACTGCACACAGTATATTATTAGATTTCACGTAATTATCAGTAAGTATTGCAGAGAAAATTATACGTAAGTCAATCACTATCCAATTAAAATAACATGCCATTTTAAAAGTCATTTGTGTCCCAAATATTGAGTCTACCTCTCGGGATAGTTTGCGCAACTCTAAATGAAGATGTCTGTAATACCAAATTATACAAGATAAAATTGCTGTAGTTAATAGAACTTATCTAAATTAATAAAATTGTCTTACAAAATTATCCATATGATGTAGTCATTTCTTGGAATTTCCAAAAATCTTCGTCGATAGGAATGTATCATGGAATTTTCCCAAGCTGGTTTTATTGCATGTTTATTATTTTTTGTTAAATTCTGAATGAGTTCATTAACTTGATCAAACTTCAATCCTATGTATCTTAATATAAAGAGTCATTGAATATAAAATCGTTATTTACAAATAGTGTATTGTATCGAAAATTTTAAGAACACTTCAAAAACTGTGAGATATTTATGAATGATAATTTAGTTGTATTACATATATAACTGTATTATAAAGTATTATAAACATATTATGACCGTGTAAAAAGATACTAACCCAAGAATACTTGCATTAGTCAAATCATCGACGACATTAATGTGAAAAGAGTAGTTTAGTAAAAAGATAAAAAGCATAGCTGTTACAATGTCACAATTGTGTTCAACTTTTAAAAATAAAGCTGAGCTACAATTCATTAATATAACTATCATGGACCATCCTAAGACAAGCCATAGAGTTTTTGCATGTAGTTTGTCATAATTTGTCACTATTCCAAGTTTATGCAGTGTATTGTCGATAATATCGAGCTTTTTCAAGCAGTTTTTAAATTTCTGTCGGGAAGATGCAAGTAGAATAGATGAAATAAATGAATAATATTATTATTTATCTGAAAATTTGACAACATTATTGCAGCTTATACATCTAATAATACCTTTATTGCATTTTTAGTCATTATTGTATAATTAATTTATATCTGTATATACTATAAATTAATATAATATTAATACATAATTGTATTAGTAACATATGTAGAAAAAAATTTGATGTAAAAAATGCAAAATAATATGCACAGAAAGATTTTATGATTTAATGTAATTTAAACAATAAGAATTTTTTTATGTAATTATCTTCATGTCTTTGTACTTCGTTAAATGTCAAGTTAAAAAATTTATAATTATTTTGAGTATTGTAGCTATGTAGATATGCACTCATAATTATTGCTGATAATTGAAAATATTATATCTACTTACCTCATTATGATATATTCCAAATACGATCGATAACAAGGTTGTAAACAATTCCAACAAATAGCAAATGTGATATTCGGTACTGGTATAAAATTTGAGATAAGGTATTAATACTGACATTAAAAGAAAATAATAAATTACCCAAATTGTCAGCATATATAAGAGACTAAACCACAATTTCGCGTGACCTAGAGGTAGATTGGTGAGTCTTAAACTAAAAATGTAACTAATCATCAGGAGTGGCATTAAAATTGTTCGAATACTTCGATTCATTCTGCACACCGTTGCTATTTCAAACTGTTCGTCGTCTTTTACTGACTTCATACATGCAACAGTAAAGCTACGTAATCTTTGTAATTTCTATTAAGGTACTTATAAATATTAGGTAATCAATCTACTAAAATTTATGTAACACGATTAAAGCAGATGATAGATAAAGTACTTCTTTACGTATGAACAAATATGTTCACATAATACTAATATAGTACTTGATATTTTCATTTTCTCTTTTTTTAATCGGAGCATTTATATAATGATGCAACGTAAACATATTTTCAAATAGCACAGATATATTTTAATCACAATTACAGCTGTAATAAATATATTATATACAAATACCATAAATAATGTAATGACAAAAATTGTTTTTTGTTATGATAAAAATTATATTATTTAATTAATAATTACATAAAAATTGTATACAAAGAATAATTCTCTTTATAAACAGAATTGAGGAAATATAAAATCGATATAAAAACATAATAAGAAATATTCATTGTTTACTTTGTACAACATATAAAGTTATAATATTATGAACTATGTTTTATAAATTGTGCATTAAATATTATTATTTATTACGAACTACATTTTATGAGCTATTATAATTTAATGACAATATATGTTTACTTATTTCCATTCTCTTGTATTGCTGTAGCTAAAACTGTTGCAATATGTAGAGAATATCAAAAAAAGTTTCATGTAAAAAATGATTCTTTTGATAATGAAAAGAATCTTACAAAGACAGAATCGATACAACAACATGTTAAATATTTATTATTTATCTTCTTATTGCATAACATGCATGTATTATCTAAATATCTATCAATTACTTTTCAGTTATATCAATTTTTTTTTCAGTACTTATAGTATACAGATATATAATCACGGAAGATGTCGTATAAAGCATTTGATAAACCACATTATATATTATCATTAAATACTACATTATATTATAGATTATTTTTTATAAAATCTGCTATAATCTGATAAAAAAGTTTACTTATTTGCTTGCGCTTGTAATATTATAACTAAAACGGTCATAATAGACATGATGAACTAAAAATAAATACAGAGTGTGTAAGTTCTTTTTTAAATATACGTCATGAATTTGATTATAGTATGCAATTGTGTAAAAAGTATAACGTACCCTGTGCAGAAATTTGAAGCCAAACTGAAAAAATCCAATTCCACAAAATTTAAGTGGCGCATAAGTCATTTGTAATAAAAAGTGTGAAATCTGTGTATATTAATACAGTTATTATTAATATGGATTTTTTATATTTACTTAAATATTATATAATATTTATTTTAATATATTTCAACAAATTTATTTTAAAACTTACGATTTCACGAATTTCTACATCATAAGTGGAATATGACAACCTATTTAATAAATCTGATGTATTACTTGCCTAAAATTATAATTTGTCGAATATAATTAATATTGATGAGAAACTAAAACTAAAAAATATTTGAAATATATAATCTAAAATATAATTAAATAATTAGATTTTATATGACAATATATATATGTTATTTTATATATTAGATATTACTAAATTAAGCATTATTTAATTAAAATTTTAAATTAATTTTTAAAAATTAAATATAAAGAATACCTTAGTGGTAACAGTTTCGCACATATAATTAATGAGCACAAATTTAAAAACGTTGTGGCAAAACCAGATTAAGCTAACGAAGACAGGTATAATTTTAGATATTATGTAACTGTCGATGAAGATTACGTATAGAATTATACGTAAATCAAGTATTATCCAACCAAAATAGCATATCATTTTAATAGTCATTTGTATTCCAAACACTGAATTCATTTCATGGGATATTTTGCGCAATTCTAAGTGTAGATATCTGTATGTGCATATATAAATACAAAGTTTTATATATTCCATGTATATACTAATTATAAACATTATTTTTTTGTGATTATGACATTTTATGACACTGCAATATAATTTATATAAAACGTCTTACATAACGATCCACGTTATGCACTTGTTGCTTAGTGATTTCGAAAATCTGTGTTGGTGAGAATTTATCATAGAATTTTCCCAAGCTCGTTTTACTTCATGTTTATTATTTTTCATTAAGTTATGAAGATGTTTATTAACTTGATCAAATTTTAATCCTGTGTATCTATATATAAATAAAATATATCGTTATTTGCAAATAGCTGCTATATTGTATAGAAATTTTTTAAAGTATTTTAGTAATTATAAAATTTTTTGAATCATAATTTAGTTTTATTATTATTAAGATAAAAACATAACGGTATATGTAAAAAAAGGGTATACCAACTCGAGAATACTTGCAGTAGTCAAATCATCGACAAAATTAATATGAAAGCAGTAGTTTCGAAAAAATATATAAAATATGGTTCTTGCATAATTCTGGTTATATACATCTTTTGCATACAAGGCTGTACTGCAAACTGTTAATATAATCATTATTAACCATCCTAAGACAAACCATATTGTTTTTTTGTGTAGTTTGTCATAGTCTGTCATAATTCCTAATTTAAGCAAAGTGTTGTCGACAATATCGAGCTTCTTCAGACAGTTCTGGAATTTCTATCACAGGAAGATAAAATAATTATTATCCAAAAATGTGGTAATATTATTGAGCATATATATTTAATAGTATATATTTTATAATTCAAGAAAATATAAAGATTTTTAATTCTATTCTTTTATAAAACATTTCTTATATAATATAAATTAATTATTTTATTAGATATTTAGAAAAAAGGAATTTATCATACACACTATGTTAATATGTGCGGGATTTTGTGTTTATATAACAGTTTTTATTAGTGAGAGAGAGAGGGAGAGAGAGAGAGAGAGAGAGAGAGAGAGAGAGAGAGAGAGAGAGAGAGAGAGAGAGAATAGATGTATAACTTTTATAACCTTTCAATTATAAGCCTTATATATTTTTTATCTGTTGTAATTGCATATGTTCGAAATTGCTAATTATTAATAACTGTATGTATTACAGTTTACAATATTAATTTAATTTTCTTACCACTACATATATTTTAATATCTCCTTACCTTATCGTGATATATACCAAATATGATTGACAATATAGTCGTGATAACTTCTAATCGATAGCAAATGTGCTGCTCGATGGAAACAAACTTATTAAACGACGATATTAATGCAGATTTTGAGAGGAAACAGTAAATTGACCAAACTAGTATCATGTATAGAATGTTAAACCATAATCTTGAATAATTAGATGAATTGTCAATTCTCAAACCTAACATGTAACTAATCATTAAAAATGGCTTTAAAATTGTTCGAATACCAGTGATCATCGCTCACACGATCTCTATTTCAAACTGTCTTTTTATTGACTATGTTGGTTGCATAGGTTATATCGAAGAGTAAAGATAGCGCATCTTTGTAATTTTAATCAGGCACTTATGGATATTAAAGTAAATAGTCTAGTACTTATGTATCACTATTTATTGAAATTAAATTAATGAAGAATATATTTTTTCTTTAAAACAAATACATAATAAATAAATATAATAGAAATATTATTTGTAATATTTTTATGTGTTTTATACTTATTTTATATTTATGATATTTTTGTTTATTTAGAATGTCTCAAAATTCGTGACTCAAAATATAACAAGAGAGTTCTCAAAAAAATAAAAAAATTCAAAACATATAAAACAGGAGTTACGAGCCAAAATAATATATTTGTAACAATGTTCAAAATAATTATAAACAAAATATTAACGCTTTTAATAAAATTAAATTATAATAAAACGGCTCAATTGATAAAAATTTAAAACATATAAACCCGGAGCTACGAGACAATAATATATTTGTAACAAAGTTCAAAATAATTATAAACAAAACGTTTCGGCCTACCATGAGGTTATCTTCAAGTTGTTAATACAAAATTAAATTATAGAATGAGTCCGCACATAATTTAATTTTGTATAACTTGAAGATGACCTCATGGTAGGTCGAAACGTTTTGTTTATAATTATTTTGAACATTGTTACAAATATATTATTTTGGCTCGTAGCTCCTGTTTTATATATTTTGAATTTTTATCAATTAAGCCATTTTATTATAATTTTAATAAAAAAATTATTTGTAAATTTTTATTTTAGCAGCAATATTTGAGATAACAAGGGTTTAAATATGATTAATTGTAGACTATGTGACGGTCATATATCCATGAGTCACGGTGCGTATGATGTAGGTATTAGTGAGCGCTGATCAGCGCACACTTCAGCTCGTTCAATATTATCTTATATGCTCACTTGTAATCATCTAAAAATCTAAACACACTCTGTAATTTTTAATCCCTATTTAAATCCTTATTTCTCAGAAATTGCTAAAATAAAAATTTACAAATAAATTTATATTAAATTTTTTGAAAACTGTGTTGCTATAGAGTATTTTAAATCTTGAATTTTTGGACACTCTGTATAATGCTATTATATAATACATATTTGAAAATATTATTATATAGCATGAGATAGTATGAATATTAATTGAAGCATGCCATGGCAGAATATAATAAATGCCATTCTTTAAATTTTTTAGAAGAAAGAAAAGACATTTCTTGAAAATTACCATTTCAAAAATTCTATAAGAAATTGTCGCAATAGTTAAAGATATGAGCAATCTATATCTGTAAAATTTGTGAATCAAGTAATTTGAATTCAAAATTTGTATTAAATTTGTTAAATATTCTAAACTATTTAAGTTCAAATAAAAATATAATTCAAAATGTTGTAAGTTCAAATAAATATGTCAATTATACAATGTATTTACAATGTTTTAAGTTGCACAACTCATTTTTCTTTGATTGTAATAGCACTTTTCATGTTAAATATTGGTATGTGATAAAATACAGAACTTACAACGCTTTCATACAATAAAACGCATTGGTTCTATTGATTATAACAATGATTGATACATTGTTATATTATTAAATTATATAATATAATATATATTTGATAAAGTAAATATAATATATATTTGATAAAAGTTTCTTGGTAGTCAATAAATTAAAAAAAAATGCGTTCAATGATATTAGGAAAACTATATATAAGAAAACTTTATGTAAAAAATGAGTTTTTCTAATCCGGAAATAGTCATCTACGGTATTTTTATACTCAAGGGGTGATAAAATGTGAATTGTTGCAAAATATTGTTTTATATGGATATTTATTAATACACTTTTTTATATCTTATTACTTATTTCCCATGAACTTTCAATAATATACAATTACGTTCTAAACTCGCAATAAAACAATGTTATATTAATTAAAGTCTTCATTCTCCAGACATACCTACTAAACATAATAAACTGTTTAACGTTTATTCTGTTTAATATTTGTTTTTCTATTTACTTTTATCAGAAAATTGTGAATAAATATATATCCAAAATGTTTTCAAATATGAATAAGTTGAAAAATGAGTAATATATGATATTTTGATAATAATGATATTAGTTGGAGTTTTATAATAATTCACAGGTCAATTTTTTTATTTTATATAAAAAATTCAGATTGCTATTTTTGGATTTATAATGAAAAGAATTAAAAACAAAATTGATAAATAACATTAAGAAATATTCTTTCATTTATCTCATTTATTGCATAAAGATACGACCTAAATACATTGCTAGCCAGAGAGATACAAAAAAGTGAAATCACATTTTTTCTTGTTATTTTAGCATTCAGAAAATAAGGTGGTAAGTCTATATTTTTAATTTGTTTATTTAAAGTTGCATACGTTATTAAAGTACATTAATATGTGCATTTTTTGAGCTGTTATTTATTAAGTTTGGTTAGGAATTGTTGAAGTAATCGTATTTCATACCGAGTCAGATCGCGGCGGGCAACTGTAAGCGTTTTGAAATGCGAACAATTATCCATCTTCCATATACTGTGTGACTAACACTAATTTTTTCGTTTCTTCTTGGCATTATTATTTTATTTTGCCGTTTTATTTCGCTAAAGTCTATATGTGCATTATTATTATATTAGTTTTATATTTTTTCTTAATACATATATGTATATTTAAAATATATTTAATATATATTTATATTGCAATATAATGAATATATTTTCTGATTTCTCTTTGTGAACATTCTACAATTTATTCATTTCTTACGACTTTTGTTTTGCGCACAATTACCCGACGCGCAAGAAATTTTTTCGCTTTTCGGTTTTTTCCTTTTGGTTAAATACAACCTTATTGAACGAAAATCTGTTCGATATGAGGATACATAATGATAGAAGAATGTTTATAGTTTCTATTTCCATATTTATATCGCTTTAAACTTGGTAAACCATTCCAGGGCAATAAATTTCTCTTAGGTGCTCACAGTTCTCCCACTTTCCTCTACATACAACGTATTTTATAAATTGTAATGTGTTGTACATATTATCATATGTTTTTTGTATATATTATCATTAAAGTATTTTTTATGAACTTTGCCTTAATTTGATAAAAATTGTTACTTATTTGCTTGTGCTTGTATTATTATAACTAAAACAGTCACAAGAGATGTGATAAACTAAAAATAAAGACAATTTGTAAGTTCTTTTTAAAATATTTGTCCACGAACTTGATTATTTGTAGTACTATTTGTAATTTAATTATGTAATAAATATAACATACCTTATGAAGAAATTTGAAACCAAATTGGAAAAGTCCGATTCCACAGAATCTAAGGGGCGTATGAATTATTCGCAATAAAAATTGTGAAATCTATATAAAAAGTGTATTACTTTTAATGCAGATCTTGTTGATTTTATATTTACTTGTACGTTTAATATGCACTTTAACAATATCTTAACGAATTTATTGTTAAACTTACGATTTCACGAATTTCAACATCACAAGTGGTACATGATAATCTATTTAATAAATTTGCTGTTGCGTTTGCCTGAAATTGTAATTTGTTTAATGTCATTAAAGAATGCATCTTAATGAAACTTCTAATTTAATTTTAAGTTAAGATGTCAAAATAATAATCTTTACATTGTTATCAATTATAAACACTTTTTTAATTAATGTTTTCTAAAATTTAATCTACCTTAATACTGACTGTTTCGCACATATAATTAAAAAGCAGGAATTTGAAAATGTGATGTGATAAGTAGAATGACGTTATGATGATAGCCATTATTTTAGATTTTTCATAATTGTCGATAATTATTGTATTGAAAAGTTCGCGCAAGTCAATTATTATCCAAATAAAATAGTATGCCATTTTGGTAGTCATTTGGATCCCAAATATTGAGTTTATATCACTGGATATTTTGCGTAATTCTAAGTAAAGATGTCTGGACAAACATAAATGTTCAGTTTTATTTCATGTATATTGTTATTTATGAATGTTAATTTTTTCCCATGATGTTACCGCTACTAATAAAATTTAGATAAAATTTCTTACATAATAATCCACGTTATACATTTATTACTTAGTGGTTTCGAAAATCTGTGTTGGTGATGACATATCCGAGGATTTTCCCAAGCCCGTGTTATTTCGTGTTTTTGATTCTTTATTAAATTCCGAAGGTGTTCATTGATTTCGTCAAACTTCAATCCTATGTATCTAAATATAAAAAGAATAGATGGGAAATGAAATTAATCGAAACGGTAGCTTTATTTTATAAGTACTTTTAAAACTTTCACTTTAGAAATTGTAAAATATTTATGCATTACACTTTAATTTTATGTACATCAATAACTATACAGTTATTTATACAGGGTATTTAGAACTTAAATGTTAAAACTTTGGGAGCGTGTAGGGGATCGATAAACTAAGAAAAAAAAGTTCTGTAAAAATATGCTCGTTTTTGTTTTGTTTTGGAGAAAATTGCAAAAAAGACAAAACGTAGTTGCTTCGTTCTCGTACTGCTTCTGAAGTATTATGGCGCGTTCACACCTTGACAGAAAAGCAGAAAGCGGAAAAGCAGCAGCCAATCAGAACTTGCGCTGGTAGTCGACAATTTCGGTTTTTTGTACTACTTACTACCAACGCGATTGGTCACTGCTTTTCCGCTTTCTGCTTTTCCGTCAAGGTCTGAACGCGCGATTTTCGTCGCTTAAATCGTGTACGAAAACAATATTAATAATTCGGTTTTCAGGTGAAATTTTTTTGTTTGTTTATATTTCTGTTTATCTTTTGTAAATTCGTCAGTTACTCGTCAGAAGTCATCGAGAGAATTGCTCCTGTCACAATATTCTGCATACATATTCTAACTATTGAATATGCTGATATGGTTTTCGTGTATGGTTTCTGCGACAAGAGATCAATATTTTGAACAATATCTACAGTAAGCAAGTGAATAAATATAATATGAATATATACAAATACAATAAGTAATGAGAAAGTACAAAAATGAAAACTTACGTTTTGTCTGTTTTGCTATTTTCTCCAAAACTAAGCAAAGATGGGCATATCTGTACAGGACTTTTTTTCTTAGTTTATTATTGATCCCCCCCATGCTCCTGAAGTTTTGACATTTAAATTCCAAACACCCTGTATAAACAACTATAGCCATAATGTAACAATATAAGTAATAAGTATATAAAAAAAAATACTAACTGAAGGAGACTTGCATTAGTCAAATCACCTATGAAATTGATATGTAAACAGTAGTCTTGTTGAATGCAGTAAAGTATAATTAATACAATGTCACCGTCACATTTATCTTTTAGCAATGAAACTGAGTAGTACATTGTTAATATAACTATGAAAACCCATCCTAAGACACACCATATTCCTTTTTTGCGTAGATTATCGTAATCTGTCATTGTTCCTAGCTTTAGCAAGGTGTTGTCGATAATATCAAATTTTTTCAAACAATTTTGGAATTTCTGTCACAAAAATGGAATGTGAAATAGACAAATATATTATAGTATATTTAGAAGAGCTAGCCGCATCTTGACCTTGATATATGTTATAAAGATCATGAAGAGTGACCATCGGAAAGTCATTTTTAGTCCTCAGTCATTGTTCGTTAAAAAATTATTATCAAAAAAGTTTACAGTATATTTATGCATATTAAGCATGTATCTAACTTCATAGTTTAAATTTTATTTAATACAAATATCACATTATTAACATATTTACATATTTATGTGAATTTGTGGATAGGGAAGGACCTGAACTATACAATCAGATTTTGTTTTACCCGGCCAATAAACAGAGGGGAGGGTGATGTAGGCTACGCTTCGTGTCGAAAGTCGAAACTAATATGGAACTTCGCTTTGCGCATGGGAAGTTGTGAATTCATGTGAAACCTTGCTTCGCGTTGAAGAGTATTATGTAGAGACAATGGATCTGACTCTTTCTACGAAGAAGAGCCCATTACTAAAAATTATAGACACGTAGTGAATCTCGTTTCATGTAAAAAGTTATACATTCACGTGAAGTGACGTTTCACATAGATACTTTTCATTCAAAACGTATAATAGTTTAATCAAAATTTATGTGTCTAATTTTTTGATAGTGGATTGAACTTTATAGAAGAAAAAAGGGCAGAATCCACTGCACACACACACACACACACACGCGCGCGCGCGCGCGCGCATGCACGCACGCACGCACGCACGCACGCACACATGCCCACACGAACGTGCGCACACGTGCACACACTTTACGCGAAGCGTAAAAAACTCCAAAAACAGCAAGATTTACAATTTTCCACGTGAAGTATATATACAAGGATTTCGATTTTCCAAGCGGTGCGATGTTTACTTTATGTGTCTAATTTTTTGATAGTGGATTGAACTTTATAGAAGAAAAAAGGGCAGAATCCACTGCGCACACACACACACACACGCACACACGCACACACGCACGCACGCACGCACGCACGCACGCACACACGAACGTGCGCACACGTGCACACACTTTACGCGAAGCGTAAAAAACTCCAAAAACAAAGCAAGATTTACAATTTTCCACGTGAAGTATTCACAAGGATTTCGATTTTCCAAGCGGTGCGATGTTTACCTCACCTTTTTTTCTGCTTATAGAACAAAATGAAGTCTACAGGATAGTAAAATTTTATCCCTTTGTAATGTTTATATTAACAGCTAAATAACCTGTGTCTAATATTTAATTTGTTCATAAATCATGTTATATTTATGAAACTCATTCTGTTAATAATTTTTTAACGAACGACTGACGCCAAAACTTTTGAAGGTCAGTCAAAGTAATAACCTTAATAACGTATATGAAGATCTATAATCAAAATATTTACCACAGTTTTTATTATTAAACAGATGCATGTAGAATTTAATGTATTATGAGTTATAATTTATATATATATTTTTTACATATTTTAATTGTACATATTTAATGCGTAAATCGTCAAGGATATGTTTGTTCTTAATAATTACGTATATCATAACAATCGTTTTATACTAATAATGTTACAAATATATATTATAACATTTTGTTACCTTATCTTGATATATCCCAAACACGATTGTTAATATTGTTATAAAGCTTTCTACATAAAGGCAGAATTGATCATCGAAGGAATAACACTCATTAAAAGAAGTTATTAATGCACATGATGAGAGGAAATAGTACACTGACCAAACCAGTAGCATATATGTAACACTAAACCATAATTTTGAATAATTAGACATGGAAATTCTTAAACCAACTACGTAATTGATTATTAAAAATGGCATTAAAACCATACGAATATTTTTGGTCATTGCACACTTAGTTTTTATTTCAAAGTGTATCTTTATTGATCAGTTGGTTGTATAAATTTATTCGAATGATGACGATAGTAGATGCAATTTCAGTTAAGGCACTTAGAAATATTAAAGCAATTAGCTGATCACAATTTATGCTTTATTATTTATTGAAATTTATAGATGGATGATGGGTATACTTTTATTTTTACTCATATATGTATATACATTAGGGTCAAAGTGCGGTTAGGGGACCAGTCTCAATGACCTTAACCTTGACATATATTGTCAAGGTCATGGCTCTAAGTAAAAACCTCCAATAGGTTTTAGCCGTCGCTCGTTATTCGTGAAAAAGTTATTAACAAAAGAGTTTGATAAAATAACGTTTTATATCTACTATTTAATATTATAAACTATTCTATACTCTTCCTTGCTTACGTAATGGCTTTTCAAGCGAAGGGAATTTTATAATGAATTCGAGGACTCTGTCCCATGATTACATTAAGTGGTTACCCCCTCGGTAATATGTTTAATGTAATTAAAGAATGTATTTTGAAGAATGTTTTAATTTCGCAGGAAGTGGTTATTTTGAGAAATATTTTAGATAAAAGTTGTTGGGAATCAAGTAATGCATTACTTGGATATATGCGATTGATCTTGGGTGGCATCGCGAAGGTCATGTCGAGGTCGACTTAAATTAAATACATCTTTGATGATGCTAACCCCGGCGGTACTGAAACTTTGAAGTTTCATAACTCAGGAATATCTCAACTAAAAAGTATTCGTAACCAGTGTTTCGAAAACATCTTAACGTCAACTATGAGAATATGCAATGAAAGATACGGATTCTCATTAAAAAAATTCAAGTCGACCTCGACATAACATTCACGACGCCACTCAAGATTAATAGCCCACGTAATGCATTACTTGATTACCAATGATTTTGTCTAAAATATTCTTTAAAGTAACCACTTCCCTCGTTTTTAAATGGGGTATACGGATGATCTGAAACACCCGGTATACGTGCAATTGAACCTGCCTTTTTCTACGAAAGGGAAGAGCCCAATTACTAAAAAATTAGACTTAAAAAATCATATTTCAATTGAACCTCGCATGGAAAGTTGTATATCGGTATGAAGTAATGTTCCACAAAGGTTACAACTTTCTATGCAAAGCGTGGTTCAATCTAAACCTATGTGTCTAGTTTTTTGATGGTTGAGCTTGTCCTTTAGAAGGAAAAAGGGCGAAATGATTGCAGTTACGCGTACGCATTTAACGCGGAGCAAGATTTCGAAAACAAAGCAAAATTTATAATTTTCCACGCAGAGCAAGGTTTCATAGAAGTTTTAATTTTCTGAGCAAAGTGACATATACTTCTCTCTCTCCCTGTTTATAGGAAAACATTAAATCTACATGATTATAAAGTTCCACCCCTTCGTAATGTTTCAGATGACAGCTATATAATCTGTGTCTAATATTTAATTTGCCCAAAAATCGTGTTCTGTTTATGAAGCTTATTCTGTCAATAACTTATTTTTAATTATTTTCGATGGTCTAAATATTTGATGGTCATTTAAAGTCATGACTTTGATAACATATCGTATGTTAAGATTAATAAATAATCGGAATATTTATCACAGTTTTTTATTATTGAATAAGTGCAAAATTTAATGTATTATGAATTACAATCTTTATATACACCTTTATATTTTATCTATTTAATTGTGTAAATAAACAAGAATATGTTTATTTTAAATAATTATATATATTATAACAATTGTTTTTATTAATATTATTACAAATATTATAACATTTTGTTACCTTGTCATAGTATATTCTAAACACGATTGACAATAATGTCATAGAAATTTCTAGACAATAACATATACCTATTGTCTGCGAAAATAAAATACATGCGAAAAGAAATAAATGCAAATCACATGAGAAAATAGTAAATTGACCAAACTAGCAGTATATACGATAAACCATAATCTTAAATGATTAATTATGGCAATTTTTATACTAAATACGTAATTAATTATTAAAAATGGCATTAAAATCATACAAATACTTTTTGTCATTATATAAAGTTTTTATTTCAAACTGTATCTTTGTTGATCAGTTAGTTATATAAATTGAATTGAATGGTAACAATAATAGACGCAATTTCTGTTAAGGCACTTAGGAATATTAAAGCAATTAGCTTACCACAATTTATGTTTTATTATTTATTGAAACTTATAGACTAATACAGAGATAATAAGATAGTATAATATATTTTATGAACTTTATTATATATGAATTTTATTATATGTGCATTATTATCAGATCTAGTTTTTTGATAAAAGAGTTTACTCATTTGCGTGAATTATTATACCTACACTGATGACAATAAACATTATAAACTAAAAGAAAAATAATATATAAACTTTTCTTTTAAATACTTGTCTGGAGTTTAACTATATATATGTATAATAAATATATATAATAATTATATATAGTAAATATATATACATTATATTAATTAAAATTTTCTTTTGTCAGATATGGTGTTATAATAATATATTAAATGTATCTATGTAATTATATTCTTTTTTATATTTGCTTTTTTATTTTTTTCAGAAAACATGATTAAATCCATATCCATAATGTTTTCAAGTATTATTAAATAGTAAAACGATCAGTAATATTCTAATAATAATAGTGATTTCAATTGAAGTTTTGTAAAAACATAACAGATTGTTTTCATCTAAAAAAGTCATATGACTATTCTCGGCCTTATAATGAAAAGAATAATGCAAAAACAAAATTGACAAATAATGTTAAGAAATATTCTTTTATTTATCTTTTTTATTGCATAAAATGTTATTAATTTTTTTTTAGATGTTAATTTTCTCTTTCAAAGCTTATATAGAGATATTCTTGAGGTTTCCACGAGTGGTTTCTGTATAAAGGTTATGCGTTTCGCGGGTTTCCTCCGTATCCAGATCTATTCTTGAGATGCCAACGTTTCGTGAACCTTGCAGTCCACTTCATCAAGGCGAGGAGCAGCCTGATACTATGTATCAGGCTGCTCCTCGCGTGATACAGTATCAGGCTGCTCCTCGTCCTGATGAAGTGGACTGCAAGGTTCACGAAACGTTGCCATCTCAAGAATGGATCTGGACACGGAGGAAATCCGCGAAACACATAACCTTTATACTTATATAGAGATATTAAATCAAATTTAGAAGGTATTGTATATACAACTTTATAAATAACATTATGTTGTACATATATTATCACTAGACGATTTTTATGAGCTTTGCCATAACACGATGATAAAAATTGTTATTTATTTGCTTGTGCTTGTATTATTATAACTAAAACAGTCGCAATAGACATGATAAACTAAAAATAAAAACAATTTAAATCTTTTTTTTAAATATTTACCAGGAATTTGACTATTTATAGTACGGAATTATGTAATAAATATAACGTACCTTATGAAGAAATTTGAAACCAAATTGGAAAAATCCGATTCCACAGAATGTAAGGGGTGCATACACTATTCGCAATGAAAACTGAGAAATCTATATAAAAAACGTATTTCTTTTAATGTATTATATATTTTGTTAATTTTATATTTACTTGTACGTTTAATATATATTTTAATAATATTTTAATGAACTCATTTTTAAACTTACAAGTTCACGAATTTCATCATCACAAGTGACATATGATAATCTATTTAATAAATCTGCTGTTGCACCTGCCTACAATTGTAATATGTTTAATGTAATTAAACAATGTATTTAGAAGAATGTTTTAATTCAATTTTAAATTTAGATATCAATAATTTCTAAAAGGTTTCTTGCATTTGCGAAGAAGTTTTCACAGTATGAAAAATAGTTTTGATTTGTTTCATTTTTACAACTATTGTAACATTACCCAACTTTAAATTTATACTTTGATTTGAATTATTGTTAGTTTTGTTTAGATTGATAATGACTTCGTAACTAAAGCGTTTGTTTATATTAATAATACTTTTTTTTAGATTGTAGCTCTTTGTTGTTTTATTATTTTAATTTTAATCATCTGAGTCGTTAATTTAATTTTTGTATTTTTTTCAATAATTTTTAAATTCATTCACTTATTATAAATAAAATTTAAATTAATTTTTTTTTTAAATTTAATATAATTTAATCTACCTTCACACTGACTGTTTCGCACATATAATTAATAAGCAGGAATTTGAAAATATGATGAGATAGGCAGAATGAAAGCACGGCGACGGCTATTGTTCTTGATTTTACATAATTGTTGATAAGTATTGTATTGAAAAGTTCGCGCAAGTCAAGTACTATCCAACCAAAATAGCATGCCATTTTGATAGTCATTTGGGTCCCAAATATTGAGTTTATTTCACGGGATATTTTGCATAACTCTAAGTAAAGGTGTCTGGACATGCAAACATAAATAGTAAGTTTTATGTTTCATGTGTACTGTTACTTATAAATATTAAAATTTTACGTGATGTTACCTCTATTAATAAACTTATAAAATTTCTTACATAATGATCCATGTTATGCATTTGTTATTTAGTGATTTTGAAAATCTACGGTGGTCAGGATATATCTTGCTATTTATCCAAGCTCTTGTTTTATGATTTTTATTTTTCATCAAATTCCGAAGATATTCGTTGATTTGATCAAACTTTAATCCTGTGTATCTAAAAAAAAGTAGATGGAAAACGAAATTAATTGTAAGCAGCAGCTATATTTTATTATTACATTTATAATTTTTATTTCAGAAGTTATGAAATATTCATGCATTATAATTTAGTTTAATTTATTTATATGTATAAATGACTACGCCAACAGATAAGGAATATAATTACAAGTATACGTAAAAAATATACTAACTTGAGAATATTCGCATTAATCAAATCACCCATAAGATTAATATGAAAACAGTAGTCTCTTGTAAAATTGAATAACATAATTGTCGCAATATCATCATCACGTTTATCTTTAAGTAGTAAAGCTTCGAAGTATGTTATTAATGTAACTGTAACAATCCATCCTAAGACACACCATGTTGCTTTTTTGCGTAGATTGTCATAATCTGTCGTTGTTCCTAGCTTTAGCAAGGTGTAGTCGATATTATCAAATTTCTTCAAACAATTTTGGAATTTCTGTTATGAATGAATGAAAATAGAATGTGAAATAGATAAATATATATTACAAGTATTCCGATTGGTTGAACAAGTCACCCAATCACCTTGATCTTGATATGTGTTGTCAAGATCGTGACTCTAAGTAACCTCCGGGAGGTCTGTCCTCGATCATTGTTCGTTAAAAAGTTATGAACAAATAGAGTGTACAATATATATGAATATGTATCTAATTTTATAGTTCAAACTTTATTTAGTATATATATATCATATTATTAACATATTTTGAATAAATTCATGGACCGGAGGGACAGAATTATACAAACGTAGACTTCATTTTACCTAAAAAAGAAGGAAGGACCCCGCTTCGCCTAGAAAGTCAAAAACTATGTGGAACTTTGCTCCGCGTAGAAACTTATGAACCTAAGTGAAACCTCGCTTCACATTGAAAAGTCTATGCATAGAAGTAATGGAGTTAGTCTCTTTCTAAGATTGAGGGAATTTCACTATCAAAAAACTAGTCGTATGCTTGTATTATAGATTTGAGTCGAACGAAATTTCGTATGGAAAGTTATATATTTACAGCGAAGTTTTACATATATGTATATTGACAACTTCTCACGCAAAGCGAAGTTCCATTCAAACCTATTATAAAGTGTCTAATTTTTTGATAGTGGAAGTTCTCCTGTAGGATGTGAAAGGCGGAATCCATTGCATTCACACATACACTTAATGTGGAGCGAGATTCCGAAGACACAAAGTAAATTTACTTTCTATGCGGCGTAAGAAGGTTCCATAAGGATTTCAATTTTTCAAGTGAAGCGATATTCACCCTCTCTTTAGCTTATAGACCAAAATGCCATCTATATGATTATAAAATTCCTCCCCCCCTCCCATGTCTCAATAATATTTTGTATTAAGGGGATTCTAAAGCGAAGCTCGAATTCCGACGAAGTCACCAGAGATCGCTGTTTTTCCAGCGCATCGATGCCTTTATATACTACCACACCAATAACTCCTCCAGTAACACATGTTAGTTTTATATATGTTTCTTAAACGTTTTTGGAACATTAGATACGTTTAGAAAACGTACATAAAACGTATATGAATCAATCGAGAGGGTCAACCACTACTTGAAATATTGTCCCGCTGATTACATGATTTCATTCGATTTTATATGATTTTATGTGATTAAAAATAATTTTTTTCACTACATATATGAAGTCATTTGGTAAAATAAAATACACGATTTTATTTAATATTATACAATGATTTCTCACGGTTGCATACGTAATTATTGAATTATACATAGAGATTTCATATAAATTTTATCCCTTACCGTACCATCTACAATTTGGTGCCTCATCCATACCATCAAGGGTCACTAGAATCTCTTCGTTTTTTTCACCTCTTTAAAATAAGTTTAAAAATCTCTAAAAATTCACCAACATACTTTCAACTTTCTAGAATAAATATTGACTCTTTATTTTAAGAAAATAATAAAATGTAGTATAATTTATACCGAAAGACTCAAAAAAACTTGCACGAACAGGAATCGCTCGGCCACTAGTTATCCATATTGGTACGGTAAGGGTTAAAATGATTTCGAGGACTCTATCCCATGATTACAAGTGGTTACCCCCTCGCAACCAATAGGTGGTACCTGGGTCACGCACCTATGATACACGCAGTTGTACGTTCGTGTCAATTTTCGTATAACAAATTTGTCGCGATAAAGCGTCTAAGTCTAATTCTAAGAATTTGACGTTATTTGTTCGTGCAAACTATGTTTTATAGGATTACTATTTCGTAAGTATAAGAGGTTGCAAAACTTTCGTATCAAGCAAATGTTGTCACGACTTGACAGCTTGAGATGCCATGTTAAGTTAAGAAATGGTAAAAAATATATCAATTTCGAAATTTTTGGTCGTTTTCAGCATAAACTCCGCCTCACAAGCATGTATTAATGCATATATTTTTATCCTGGAAAAGAATTTTTGAATCTGTGAAAGAGAAAAAAAGTATTTCTTATATACAAAAATTATATGATTTGGTCAATAATACAGACGGCTTTAGGATCCCTTTAATAGCTATATAATCTGTATCTAATATTCAACTTGTCAAAAATTATTTTGTTGATAACTTTGTAATAAACAACGACAGACGCGGCGACACCGCAACAGCCAAAATTTCTGAACATCAGAGTTATTACCTTGACAGCATATGTGAGGTCAAGGTGTTTGAGGTACATAAAAATTATATTTATTATATATATATATATATTTATTTAATTGTGTAAATAAATATGAAAATGTTTATTCTTAATAATTGGGTGTATTTTATACAATTGCTTTTCATTAATAATATTATTACTGGTATTATAACATTTCTTTACCTTGTCATGATATATTCTTAAAAATCTCTAAAAATTCACCAACATACTTTCAACTTTCTAGAATAAATATTGACTCTTTATTTTGGAAAATAATAAAATGTAGTATAATTTATATCGAAAGACTCAAAGAAACTTGCACGAACAGGAATCGCTCGGTCACTAGTTATCCATATTGGTACGGTAAGGGTTAAAATGATTTCGACTTTCGAGGACTCTATCCCATGATTACATTAAGTGGTTACCCCCTCGCAACTAATAGGTGTTACCTGGGTCATGCACCTATGATACACGCAGTCGTACGTTCGTGTCAATTTTCGTATAACAAATTTGTCGCGATAAAGCGTCTAAAGTCTAATTCTAAGAATTCGACGTTATTTGTTCGTGCAAACTATGTGTTTTAGGATTACTATTTCGTAAGTATAAAAGGTTGCAAAACTTTCGTATCAAACAAATGTTGTCACGACTTGAGATGCCATGTTAAGCTAAGAAATGGTAAAAAATATATCAATTTCGAAATTTTTGGTCGTTCTCGGCATAAACTCACAAGCATGTATTAATGCGTATTAATGCGTATATTTATCCTGGAAAAGAATTTTTGAATCTGTGAAAGAGAAAAAAAGTATTTCTTATATACAAAAATTATATGATTTGGTCAATAATACAGACGGCTTTAGGATCCCTTTAATAGCTATATAATCTGTATCTAATATTCAACTTGTCAAAAATTATTTTGTTGATAACGAACAACGACAGACGCGGCGACACCGCAACAGCCAAAATTTCTGAACATCAAAGTTATTACCTTGACAGCATATGTGAGGTCAAGGTGTTTGAGGTACATAAAAATTATATTTATTATATATATATATATATTTATTTAATTGTGTAAATAAATATGAAAATGTTTATTCTTAATAATTGGGTGTATTTTATACAATTGCTTTTCATTAATAATATTATTACTGGTATTATAACATTTCTTTACCTTGTCATGATATATTCCAAACACGATTGACAATAACGTCGTAAAGACTTCTAGATAATGGCAAATTTTGTCCTCGAAGGAAAAAAACACGTGAAAAGAAATCGTTAATGCAGATGATGAGAAGAAATAGTACACTGACCAAATCAGTAGCATATATGTGACACTAAACCATAATTTTGAATGATTAGATATGGCAATTCTTAAACCAAATACGTAACTGACCATTAAAAATGGTGTTAAAATTGTACGAATACTTTTGACCATTGCACACATAATTTTTATTTCAAACTGTACTTTTGTTGATGAGTTGCAAGTATAAATTGAATGGAATGGTAATGATACTAGACGCAAAGTGCTTTCTGTTAAAGCACTTAGGAATATTAAAGTAATCAATCTACTATATTTTGTGCTCTATATTATTTATCTAAACTTATAGATGGATCATGGGTATACTTTTATTTTTACTCATATACGTTGGTACATAAAAAGTATGAATTTTGGCAACTTTGTTTTTTATTTTTTTATTTGTCCTTTTTAATACATACTCGTATTTAAGTTATTAAAGTATTAATTTTAATTGCAATTGCAGTTGTAACAAATATATAAATAATGCAGAAACATTATAAATATATTGCAATTATGTGTGTATTATAAATATATGATAATTATGTGTCAATTGCTTCCCTACAATATGTATAAAAACGTATATGTAAATATGATGATTCATGTCTGTAACAAGAAATTCATTGACAGATGATAATCGATGTATAATAAAAACATAATATATGTATATATATACATATATGTATATAAAGTAAAGTTCATTTTTATTGTATAAAATTTT